GCATTCCTGATAGTAATATCATCCGGGTGACAGTCTACCCTCCTAGCATAGTCATAGTAAATTTTCAGGAATGTTTCATTAATCTTAAGCTCATACTCGAGCCCGGGATCGTCGTCGTTTAAGCTGCAAACCCTGAACGAGATCTTTGGAAAGAATCCTCCAGGTTTTAGACGAGTAAACCTTGCTTGCTTAGCAATAGGCCCTCGCTTAGTAACAGGCCCTGGCTTAGTAGTAGGAGGTGCCATGACAACCACAACATCAAGTTCATCATCTTCTATTTGAATGGGGTCGTCTCCTGGAATGTCAATCACTTGCTGAATAGAAACACCTTCAGAAGTAACGTCCTTATTTTCTTCAACAGCAACGACGTCCTTGTTTTCTTCAGCAGCAACAACGTTCTTGTTTTCTTCAGCTGCAACATCCTTTTCCTCAGGATCAACTTTCTGGGTCTCCTCACAAATAGCATCCTTCTCGGCCGAAGGTAAATTAACCTTGGGTACATGAGCAACAACTCCTCTTGGTTTCGTTAGGTCAAGTACAAGATCTTCAATGACCGAAGGAACATATCGATGAGACTACACTCCAGGGCGGCTTTTCTTCCGCCGACACTCAAGCCAACTGCATACTAATTGGCTGTGACGGCCAATAGCCTTCCTTTTCCTACGTGGTGTTGGAAGGGATCGGACCACCATCGGGGTTAAGATTTTAAGGGGTGGAGGAACTCATTTGGATTGAATATCTCTGTGTGGATGATATTGGTGAATAAGTTATTTGTCAAGTCTGTTTATAATATCAGACCTTTGCATAGGAATACAGTCTTTATGGGTGTGATATTAGTTATGATTTTAATTTCTCTTTTTTTCCCAAATAAAATAATATTTCCATATCATGCAAGGAAAACTATTTCCAAATAAAATAACATTTGTCATAGAAAAGGGAAAACTATTTCCACATAAAATAACATTTATCATAGAAAAGGGAAAACTTGTATGTTTCCTTTCCGTTTGCAATGATATTAGAACAATACCAACTGTATAAAAATAAAGGGTAACATTTTATAATTAATTTTTTATATACTTATTTGTTTTTTAGTAATTTTATATATTTATGTGTACAACTATGTAAAACATTTTAAATTATTCCAGTATTTTTAATATTTTTTTTTATTTTTTTGTAAAAGTACTCCAATATTTTCAATTTGTGTATATATAAGCAGTCAAATTTTATCTATACGCAATAATTATAATTGTAATTATACTTTTTTAAAAGATATTTTTTTTATTTGAAATAGTTTTATAGAAGATAATTACAAATTATCGGATTTTAGATTTAGATTTAACTAATAAAGGAAAATTATTGCAAAAATTAAAAATAAAAATAATATTATTTTTTTGTACTAAAGGACGTCAGCATAAAACTTCAGCAGCAAATTATATATTTAGTTGTTGGTGTTAGATCAATCAACTAGCTATTACCCATAAGCTATTACCCATAGGACAAAAGTAACTTCTAAGCAAACAAAAGTTTATTAGAAAAGGGAAACAAGATTCTAAAAAATGTTCACCCGTTACAACAAAAAAAAAGAAAAAAAAGGTAAGGGGGGTTCCAAGGGTGCGGTAAAAGGGGGAGCAACACTAGAAGATTCAATCCCATTGAATTGAATATAGTGTTGTAGTAAAAGACAAATTGAAAATCAAACCCTCGAAACCCTAAACCCTTCAAACCCTAATCTCTCCAAAACCCCAAACCCTTAAATATGATCACACTCATTTGGATTATTAAATTCTTATTCAACTCTAATAATGTAACAATTTTTTGCAATTATAATCCGCATTATATTCTAAATTTTACATTTTAATAATTGACATTATTTCTTATAAATCATAATTTGCTAGTTGATTGAATTCTTCTATGTAGTTGATTGAAGTAACGATGTTCATGTATTGTTCCTCTTTCTAGTTAATCATCGAAGTTCAATTATTCCATCTACTGTTCTTCTCTAGTTGATTGTATTGTTCATCTCCTACTTGATCGAAGCACGTTCCTTTGTTAGATTTATTGTTCTTCTACATAATTAATCGATGTAACATTGTTGCATTTATTGTTCTTCTACCTAGTTGATCGAAGTAACGTTGTTCCATTTCGTGTTCTTCTAGTTGATCATGTTGTTCATCCTACTTCATCGAAGTAACGTTGTTAGATTTATTGTTCTTCTATATCTCGCTTTGATCAAAGTAACCTCAAACCATTTATTGTTCTTATAGTTGATCGAAGTAACGATGTTCCACAAATTGCTCTTCTAGTTGATTCTATTGTCCAAGTTGATCGAAGTAACGATGTTAGACAATTGTTGAATCCCTCCGAGTTGATCGAAGCAACGTTGTTAGATTACTTTCCCTCGTAGTTGATCGAAGTAACGTTGTTAGATTTATCTAATCTAGTAGATCGAAATAAACTTTTAATTTTTTCAAAATAAACTTTGATATCTATTCTTAATTAATTTGTTAATTTTTTTTAAAGAAGTTAATTTCTTAATTAATGGAATGATATTCAGGATTCATATTTTTTTTCCTCAATTCTTGAAAAAAGGTTACGCAATATTTTATTTATTACTTTTTAATAAATATTTCTTGTCCAATTAATAAAATTATTAATAAAATATTATGTGGTAATTTTTCACAAAAAAGCCACCTCCTTACAACCAAAATACTCTATACGTTCATGCCGAAAACAATCACACAATGGCATCAAAAAGTTGCAAAAACAAATCAATTTATCTTCAGCTTCGTAACCGGCAGCTACAAACATCAAACCAGCGAATTTGTTACCACCCACGATACCTAATTATATACTTTTCTCAAGTGAAATCTGAAGTTGTCTCAGAGATGGAGTTCAACCACACTCAATACTTTTACAGCCACCAATATTTAAGAGAGTTCAACCAACTCCCTGTGGACGAGTTACACTCAGAACTGTGCTCCAATCCGGAAAATGGGTCTACCTACGGCAACCCTTTCCAAGTGATGTGTAATTTAACTACCCGAGAAGTAAAACCGACATACATGCCCTTGATTGATGATGCTGCTGCCTATTTTCCTAGGGGTGCCATAGTGTTCATGAAATGGTTTTACAGACGTGCTTGCCCTTCAACACATCACTACATTCCCAAGGAATTGATTCCTATATTTGATCTGAAAGCATTCGTCGATCTAGACCAAACACCGACATTCGCACTCCCCAATACTACTCGTGAAATTGTACTTGGAGAAAATAAGGTTAGGGTCCATGTGATGCCGTGATGGAGGCTCACACTCCATTCTCAGCACTTTCAATCACGGTGCACTCCGATGTAACTTGTATCAGTGGTACGAGGTACTTCACGGTGGGTATTAAGGCCAACACAAATGACATCTTTAATAATAATTTGAAATTTAACAAAGGGAGGTTAGTGGTTGTTTGGAACGCACGGAGTATCCACTGGTCGTCCTTTAACGAATACTTTAAGGAGCTCCACGATAGGTACTCACCGATGCTAGTGATAATCACAAAGGCCAGGGTCAGCAGGCCACTGTTGAATTTCGTACAAAGAAAAATGGTTGGTAATTATCGGATTGAAGCAATTGGGCCTAGCTCCGGTCTCGGATGGGTGCTACTAGTTTGGGGCTTGAAGGTCGAACCATACATCACAAGCCGGCAAGATACCATATACGGTTATCTTACTACAGTCACTTGTATTGTAAGTTATCCTTAATGACATTAGTAAATTTATATAATTAAACCTAATATTAGTATTATTTTTTTATCCTTTATTATTATTACTAAAGTTAATTTGCTTAATGTATTGGCAAACAAAATTCACATTGGATATGGTTCCTGAAATTGTTCCGGAAAGTAAGTACGTGTTCGAACCCTTAGAGAGTGAGGAAGACGAAGACGAAGCCGAAAACGAATCTTACAGACAAAACGCTTAATCAAATTAAATTATAGTGTTACGATTAATATCAATTACTATTGTGTCTAATTTATGTTAATGAATTTCTTTCATATCGTATTAGTAAAATTATATCAAGTTAGTAAATTTATATCATGTCAAAATTGTGTTAATAAATTGACTTAAGAAGTGACTACTTCATTATTGTACTATGCCATTGTTGCTTTCTTTCATTACCCTTGCCTTGTAGGTAGAGGTCTTTCATTAGTAGGGGTCTGATCAGTGTTGTACTATGTAGTACTACCTTTTATCTTTGTATCAAAACTATCTTCAACTATTAAGCATTGTAATTTTGTCCTATTCCATTCAATTGCTCCAATAATATTATTTTAAATCTTGAGTATTTTCTTTTTTAAATGTTCATGAATGAAGTTTGGAATAATTAAATAGATTAGATCATCGAATGTCTCAGATAGATTAAACTAAAAATTAAAACAAATTTTATAATCAATATTTCATCAAGTTCGTACATTTTCATTAAGTGATTCTATCAAATAATTCTAAAATCTTACCATTGAATAGAATTAAATCAAATTCGTACATTTTTCTTTAAGTAATTCTATCAAATAATTGGAAAAATCAAGTAATTCTATCAAATAATTCTATCAAGTACTTAGCTTGAGTTGGCTTCGATTTTGGTTCACTTTTGTTTTTTACAAAAAAATAATCAACCATTTTGTAGGGTATATGTTTAAGTTCCATTAATTATAGCCGTTGATTGATCAAAATTATAGCCATTGATTTACCAATGTGACAATTGCATTACCAACACTACAGATACGATTTTCAAATGGGCGGGTGAGATATTTGAAAGTATGAGTGTAGTAAAAGGACACCATGGTAATTCATGAGTGTGGTAAAAGTACAGATACGCCAATGCACTTTAATTCACTTTATACTTCATAAGCCACACTTCCTCAAATGCAAATATTTTTGACAATGACAATACATTGCCAAAGTTCATGGAAAATAATCATAATATTTGGACTGATGTAATATTTGGCAGTAGAATGGTAATAAAATATTGGAGGACATACTATTTGCCGTGTTGAACACAACTCAACTTATCAACTTGTGGTACTATTTGGACTGATGTAGTCAATTAGTAATTTGACAATGAGCAGTAAACCATCAGAAAGTTGGCTTACTAGCTTCTTTTGTCGTGATATGTTTCGCCCCTATGAACTTACCCTCTTTTCTCTTTTCTTCCCCAGAGTACTATCTTCATTCCCACCATAGAACCTAACCAAGAAGTGTCTTACCCTCCTGGGTTCTTCGCGGCTACGGCGACTGAGAACGCAAAACACTATATCAAGTACAACATGAACCCTGAACAAGAAATGAACTTCAACGACTTTGTCTATTTTCATAGCCAAAATGGAAAATTGGCCTTGCATGTCGTTGAATATAATATTCTGATGAAAATTGTCGCCAACCCTAAAGAAGAGCAACACCGCATGGACAAATTAATGATGGTCAATGAGGCTAGTGAGATTTATCCAGCTTACTTACCCAATATTGTTGATGTCGTTGGTAAGCCGGAGGTGCAAGCTGCCATTCGTGAGCTGGAAATGGATGATTATGTCGAGTACGAGGGTACAACCAAAATCATTCCGAAATTGATGGTGGAGAAGATAGACTTGAAGCCAATAATACCAACAAGTGGCCATATATACTCCCTTGGAGTGGCTGGCTTCAGCACGGAATTCGGCAGCTACACGGATCATATTCTGTTCTTGTAAGTAAAATACGTACCCTCGTATAATTATTATAGCGTAATTTTGCTGATAATTGTTGGCTTGTCATGTTAGCTGCAATTTGAGCTAATTTAATCTTTTCTTGTTGAGAGACCTAAATTTAAGTTATGTTAATTGATGAAAATTTTTGTTCTATTATCGATTATTGGAATTTTTGAACTAAATATAACAATTTGTCTTTGAATTAGAAGTAATTGAGTATCACATATAGTAATTATGTCTGATATTATGTTCGGATGGTAGTTTAACCTTGGAAGTTGACTAATTTAGCCAATTGTAGTGGGGTTGCTTGATTAATTCCATTGTTGGTTGAGTAATTTTTCAATGAAATAGAGTGCATACAAGTGATGATTAAATAAATTAATTTCTGAAAACAGGATTGCTTAATTATGAAAAATCAATCACGATGATTTTTAATTGTGATAACTCATGATAATTTATAAGTTAAGTTAAATGTTAAGTTAATGATGATAATTTTTAAGTGAAGTTAATCATGATAATTGTTAAGTTAATCATAATAATTTTAAAGTTTTAAAGTTAAGTTAATCATGGTAATTTTAAAGTTATCATGACTCGTGATTGTGATAAATCATGATAAGTGGCCCAATTATCCGATAATTTTTGATAAAATAACTTTAGACCTTGATCACATGATTTTCTATGTTTAACAAAATTGCCAGTTAAGGGACCACAACATAATTTGCTCATAGTTTGCTAAACATCTGTTTAGGTGAGGTCTCCTATCACGGAGATCAATTATTCCGTGTTTAGGGACCAGTTCATCGAAGACGACCTGACAAGCCATTACCAAGCTGTCAAACTTCATCCGGAGCTAGAGCTAACAAGAAAAAACTGGACATTGGAGCTACTGTTGTGCTTTGGAATGGCCGTAGGATCACCTGACCTTATTTTGTCGACCACTTAGAAGAAATTGTTGCAACCCATAACCTAATTCTGATGATAGTGACAGAGGTGGGGACAACATCCACGAATTGCGAAAGGATTCTAGCAAAACTAGGCACAACTATGTCCTGGCGATTTGACGCGGGTGGAGGTTTGCTTGGAGGGATCGTGGTTTTCTGGGATCCTCATAGGGTGGATTTGACGATGCTCACAGTTAATGCATTTGAGGTTGAACTCCCTCAATGATGTTTAAAAAATAAAATTATTAGGTTACTTAATTAACTCACTAATCCTTTAATTTGAATGTTCAAAAGAAGTTTCTAGTTACTGTGAAGACTGGTACCAAGTGCATAAAGTACTGCTTGTTAATGGTGAAGGATGTTGTGTCCAGTTAGAATATCTGTATTGCTACTCGTATTAATATATGTAAAATAACGTGTAATAGGAGACTCATGGGATTGTAGGACTATGGTTTGTGTTGTTTAAACTTGATCGGTTTGTGTTGTATAAACTTGATCGTATCTTGAATTTGAAGCGTACTATGTTATGTATTAATGTGTTATGTATTAGGACCTAATTGAAGACTCCACCTTGATGTAATGATATTTTTAATTTTATGATGGAAGTCAAACCAAATGTCTAACACAGGTACCATTTTTATTTGGGCTGCAAGAAGTTCAATATGACGCAATTTAAAGAAGCAGGTGCTTGTTGCTTTCAAATCCTGTGGATATCTTAACAACTTCGAGACCTTGGTTTGCACTTTACAGGCATACCTATTAGGTGTGCATCACTCTCGCACTAAAAATATTGATGTTCGACATCATTTTATTCGAGATCATGTAGAGAATGGTGACGTATCTATTTCTTTTATTTCTACTAATTATAAACTTGCTAATATTTTTACTAAGCCTTTAAGAGAAGATAGATTTAATTTTATTCGGCTTGAATTGGGAATCTTGAACAAGGAAGCATCTTTGTAGGGGGAGCTAAGGTAAGTGTTTTATAGCTTTAATATTTGCTATATGTGAAACTGCAACTTATTTCAAGACCTTAACCTGCATGTCAAAGCCTTGAAATAAAACTGTCGTATATTAAATATTTTGGAACTTAAATATTTTGTGGTTATCCTTGTGGATAAACATTAAATATTTGTTATCACTAGCGTTGGAGCGCGCGCGATGCGCGCTCCCCCTCGACGGCTTTTTCGGCTCCTGTTCGAATTCAACGTGGTCCTAGAGGGCCAGCGTGGAATGTGGAATTGCTCGGTGCTAATATTAGTGAGACTCATGGTCTATTCATGTATTCTGGTTGGGAGAACTTTGAAGCTGACAATCATGTTGAGCATGGTGATATTCTGAGTGTGCGTTATGTTGGTCAGGAAGTTTTCCATATTCAAGTGTTAACTGTTGTTGATGATGATGATGATGCTGATAACTAAGAAATCAATTGTTTCACATATGATGTGGTTAAAGTCAAGGTTACTTGTTTCTAAATATTATCAGAATCATTATAATAAAACATAAGTGCTTGATGCTTTCTCTTTGTTTACTGCCTAACTACTTTAATTTAAACTTCAAGTGATAATAATGGACTTCAATGATGTGCTTGAAGTCAAGGTTTCTTGTTTCTAGACATTATCAGAATCATTGTAATAAAACATAAGTGCTTGATGCTTTCTCTTTGTTTACTGCCTAACTGCTTTAATTTAAATTTCAAGTGATAATAATGGACTTGGTTTGGTCATAAGTTAGTGAGTTCGAGATGTGAATCACTCTCGTAATAAGCATATTAGTGTTCGACATCATTTTATTCGAGATCATGTAGAAAATGATGACGTATCTATTTCTTTTATTTCTACTATTTTCAACTTGCTGATATTTTTACTAAGCCTTTAAGTGAAGATAGATTTAATTTTATTCGGCTTGAGTTGGGAATGTTGAACAAGGAAGCATCTTCGTAGGGGGAGCTAAGGTAAGTGTTTTATAGCTTTAATATTTGCTGTATGTGAAACTGCAACTTATTTCAAGACCTTGACCTGCATGTCAAAGCCTTGAGATAAAACTGTTGTATATTAATTCTTTTGGAACATAAATATTTGGTGGTTATCCGTGTGGATAAACATTAAATATTTTTTATATTCTTGTAATACTCTTTCACAACTGTTATTTATTTATGTTTTTTTTTAAAAAAAAGTTATCTTTTTCAAAATGCCTTGATTTTATCTACCTTCCCTCATTTAATGACTGGCACGCAACCGTCATACCCCCTCCTTGAAACCTGCATCACGTTACTTCACCTCTACCCTTTTCACCTTCCCACATCTTTTCACTTTCTCTCTCTCCTCTTTCTCTCTCTTACTCTCATCTGTCACTTTTTCTTCATCTCTCCTCCAAAATTTCTGAATTTTTCTCTCTCTAAACTCATCTTTCTCACTTTCTTGGAAATTTATTTCCTTCCTTCAACAACGGCACCTAAAAGAAAATCGATTGCTTCAAAGCCTTCATCCTCCAAACAAGCTCGAACTCGTGCTTCATCCAAACAAAAGGTACCTCAAGTTTCTTATTCTAGCCTTCGGATTCTCTCGTCCCGGAACCCCCTGTTCCTGAGCCTAATCCTAAAGTCGAGGTACATTCATCTATTCCCTCCTCTTGGTTTAGAAATAATCAAACTCATGGAAAATGGAAGGATGCTTTCCATTCCCGTAAACTTTGTTTTTTTTAGAAGATGGATATCGATTTGATCAATTCTGCTTCCCTAAATTGCTTTACGCTTTTCCTCAATCTTCCATATTTAAAATGTCATCTCTTTCGGATATAGCTTATCCCCGTATTACTCGTTTGTTTTATATCAATATGGTTGTCAAGAAAAATCGAGGGGAGATTACCCTTGAAACATCAGTCAAAGGGAAAGAAATTTCTCTCACTGTCTCTACTTTGGCTCACATTCTAAATACATCTCCTGATTTTTCTAGGGATTCTTATCCTTCTCGCCTAGATTGCATTTCTAAGGCCCGGGAACAATTTTTGTTCGATGACCTTCCAAAATCCAAGCAATTGACCCATTCCTCTTTGAAGCTTGAACCAAAAATAATTTTTACTTATCTTGTTCGTTGCATCGTTCCCCATACAAATTCCAGGGAACTTCTCACTGATTAGACTCTTGAATTAATTTTTCTGCTTCTAAATGGCTATGACATTAATCTTCCTTATATCATTTTGAACTACATGGTTCATTGTGTTTCTTCCTCCAGGCCAATTCCTCTTCCATACGTCAATCTTCTGCCAAAAATTTTTGAGTACTTTGATATTTCTCTGGAAAATGAGGAAATTGAAAGAAACATGACTCCAAAGATTGGTATAGAGTCTTTTAATAAACTTGGGATCTTTTGTCTTCCTGACGGAGCTTGGAAGCTTCGTTCTGAATTATCTTCAGACGATCTTTCTGCTCTGCCATCCTCTGTGGCCAAAGGAAAAGGCCCTGCTGACCCCTCTACTTCCTCTTCCCGCCTTAGATCTTGTAATTTAGGTTTATTGTAGATCTAGTTAATTTTGTATGGAATTGTAATTTTAGTTTATAAAATTTATCATAAAATTGTGTACTTATATATATCTTATATATTTCTTTTATTTTCGTTAGTTAATTATCGTTTTTTTTTAAAAAAAATTTATGAAATTCTGATTAATATGTAAATCTATTGGTTTTGATTTTTTTTGTGTGGTATTTTTTGATTATGTTGTGTTAATTTCGTATTTTTGGGGCTAATTTTCAGTTTTTTGGGGTTGATTTTCCTATTTTTTTGGGTTAATTTTGGTTTTGACAGAATTTTTGGAATGGTGGTGGTGTGTGGTGGTGTCGGTGGTGGTGGGGTAGGGTAGGGGCTGGTGTGAGTTTGGTGCAGGGTGGTTTCAGTTTGGTGTGGGTGGGGTTTTGGTAGGGTAGTTTTGGTTTGGTGTGGGTGGGGTTTTGGTAGGGGTGGCTTTAGGTGGTGGTAGCTCCTGTTTTGGGTGGCTGTTGTTGGGGTGGTGCAGGGTGGTAGCCCCTGTTTTCGGTTTGGTGTAGGTGGGGGTTAGGTACGGTGATGGTGGATCTGTTTGGTTGGGGCTGTTAGAGGTGGTGCAGGGTTTTTTTTTTTTTTTTTTTTTTGCAACTTCCGACGGAATTTCCGTCGGAAATTTCCGGCGGACTTGTATTCCGTCGGAAATTTCCGACGGATTTTCCGGTGGCCGGAAAACCTCTTCCAATGGAACAATTCCGACGGAATTTCTGACGGATATGGCTGTTTTTCCTACAAAGGGTTTTCCGAGAACACGTTCCGACGGAAATTCCGTCGGAATAGTGTTTTCCGACGGAATTTAGGGTGTTTCCGACGAAATTTTTCCGTCGAAAATGGCCTGTTTTCTTGTATTGCTTGATGCTTTGGAATTCAGTCTTGATGAACTCCGTCGTGATACCATGACTCAGTTCCAAGACCTTGAAACCAAACTTGATGAAACACATGAACTTCTGGCAATTGTTAATGCCAAAATTAATCAGATGTTCTATCTCAATTCCCTTACCTTCACAGCAACTGGTAGCATCATGCCTTTACATGAGGATGCTGCTGAACATGCTCGTGAAAAGTCTGCCAATGTTCTTTTCAATTGTGAGAGAAATGTAAGGAACCGGCCTATTCTTCGACCTTTGAGAACCGAGCCATCTATCCTTACTATTGAAGAGTTTGGGGTTGTGAAGAAGTATAGGCATGCGGAAGAGCAGAGGAGGCTTGATGAGATGAGGAAGGACAAGATCCTGAGAGAGACTCATGGATGATGGGCAGAGAAAGCTAGGGATGATGTTCGCTACAAGCGATCTAATGTTTGATGTCAAGGCCTTGAAGTTATTTTCAAACTGTTTTAGTCTACTCTTTGAACTATTTTTTTTTTCTGTTGGTCTGTATTAAAACTTATTTTTAATCTTTGTTCCAAACATTTTTTTTCTTCCCTTGTTAAAAAGGGGGAGAAAAAGACTAGTATATTTTAATGCTGGATGTTTGGTTATTTTGCTGCATATTTATTCATTCTTTAATTGTGGTTTTGACTTCCATCAAAGGGGAGATTGAAGACTCCACCTTGATGATTATGATATTTTTATTTAACTTTATGATGGAAGTCAAACCAAATGTGACACAGGTATCATGTTAAATTAGGCTGCACGAATTGGTATATTTAATTAAGCCCACCATGCGTATGTCAAAGTGCAGATTTAATATTTGAAGTCCATTATTATTTTGGCAGGATTATTTAAGCCCACTTTGATTGCTTGTTTATCTAATATATAATGTTATAATTTTCTAAAGTTGCAATGTTTATCTGAATATATTGGATTTGTGAAGTTAATGTTTATCTTAAAGTTTAAACATTTATCTTTCACTAACAAAATCTGTTTTGCAGATTACTAATGATAAGGGATAATGATGATTTGAATATCTGAATTTAACAAGTTTGTTGCATGTTTATCTTATCCTAATAGCTTTATCTTCAGATTCAAATTTGTTTTTCAGTTCTCTTAAAATAAGGCTGGAATCTTTGCTGCCTTTGAACATTAGTTTTGAAGCCTAACAACTAGTGAACGTTGAAGAATTC